GTAGTCACCATCACCAAAGTTCTCAGCTTACCCAATGGATCATAAGAATTCCCACAGGCTGTACAGTACTTGAGCTATTTAAACTATTTTGCTCTCTAGCAGATGAAACTTAAAGTTATTTCTGCGGTGCTACGTTGTGTACCTTTCTCTGCAGACTGGGAGTTGAAGAGCTGGCCACCGTTACGGCCTCCTGCCAGACCACAGGCAGCCTGGCCTCTGAAGGCCAGGGCAGGTGACCCCGAGAAGGCCGCCCTCCTCAGTCCCTGAGCAGATGCTGCAGACGGGGCAGCTTCTCCATTTACCATTACTGATAGTGCATTGGCCATTTCCCTTTCAACCACCTCCCCTGCCTTCCCCAGAGAATCTAGCTCTCAAAGGCGGTGAATCAGAAAGTCAGTGAAGACTTTACCCTCTGATCAAGTTCCCAATCTCAGAAGAAGAGTCTGATTTCAGTGGGTTATCTACCACCAAGCAGGCACAGAGGCTGGTTTTGTTGTTGTTGCTGCTTTTGGTTTTTTTGGGACAGGGTCTCACTATGTAGTTGAGACTGACCTGGAACTCACTATGTAGCCCAGGCTGACCTCGAACTCACAGCGGTCCTCCTGCCTCAGCCTCCCGAGTGCTGGGATTACAGGCATGCGCCACCACGCCCGGCTAAAGGCTGGTTTTGGATCCTGGTTCCTCTCCTGATTTCCTTGGGCTGCTGCCTGCCTCTTGACTCTGTCCACCAAGGTACTTACCATCCTCCGTAGTTGGCTTTAGTCCCAGGCTGGCTATACAGAGTGGGGTATGAGAGCAATAAAATGTAATTCTTGGGGTTCTCCAGAGAGCTGCCCAGAGCTTTATTTATGAATCTGGATTTGGGGAATCAGGGGAAGAGATGACTACTATTGTGTGCACCATCATCCTCTCAGCCGAGACTCAAAAGAAAACGGTACTTAGGCCTTTACTGTACACATGTGCTGTGTAAACAGATGTTTATAGTTTTATACTGAAGATGGAATAAGAATTAGGTCTTCCAACTGTGTATTTTTTCTACTTTTACAGATTTTAAAACTATGATCCTTTATAATAAAGGGCACTGCTTTGGGGCACGATTACAAGTTTTATGGCAAACCATGGGTACTATTAACCTTTTATGGTCTTTGTAAGTATGTAAAATCCTATTCGTCCCCTATTCTTCTACTTCTCTTAACTCTGATATACACCAAGAAGATTTTACTCTCCTTGTTTTATCATTATAAAAATAATAAAAGTATTTTGCTAGTACAAAAAAAAAACAGAGGGTAGCTTCTGAGGGGCTGATTTGATAATAATCAGAACACCCAGACATATTCTGTTCACAGACTTCTGGATCAGTTATCATTTATTTTATCCTCATTAATAAAAGGGATTCTAGCTGCTAAAAATAGAAAATTAAAACTGTGGCTTAGCTAAGCTCTGGAAACAACCTAAATGCACAGATAAAGAAAACATGGTCTAAATCCACAGTGGACTGTTGTTCAGCTATAAAGAAGAGTGAAATCATGTCCCTTACAGGAAAATGGCTAGAACTTGGAGACCATAATGCTAAGTGAAATTAAGTTACGTATCTCATTTTTTTCTCTTATATGAGAAACCTAAAATATAAATAAGTTAATTAAGTAAAATAAAGAAAGTATGGGAAATAAGAATGTAGACTTTCTGGAGATAGTAAAAGGGATCATAAGGGCTGGGGATTTAGTTCAGTGACACCATGCCCACCTCACAAGCACAAGGTCCTGAGTTCGATCCCCAGTACCAAAAAGCAAAAAAAAAAAAAAAAAAAAAAAAAAAAAAAAAAAAAACCAGAAAAAGAAATCATATGGAAGGAGAAATAAAGGAGAGGAGTAAAAACATAGGAAATATCAGTTCTCCAAGATGAACAACTAGTATGTACTACAAACATACACTACTTTAAAAAATAACTTGGGAAGAAAAAACCCTGGGTTAAAATTTTAGCTGTATTTCTAGCTGGGACAATTCACTTCCTCTCTTGATCTGCAGTTTTCTTATCAATAGGGTTGTTGCAAGGATTAAATAACACAAAACAAATGAAATCACTCAGGATCAAGTGTAGTGCACAATAAGCACTCAATAAATGCAATTATGCTCATTCTAACTAATTTACATTCACCTCCTAGATGTACTTCCAGTACCAAAGGTGTCATTCACTATGTGACTGACTTTAAACCAAATTATTTCCATTTGGCATCTCTAGGAAAGACACTATACGACCTAACTTTATTTGCCACATAACAGATGCTGAATAAAATGTGTTTAAGACTGTCCTATAGCTTTTGATCAAATTTTTTGTTAATCAGAAATTCACCATTTTAACCATTTTAATGTATACAATTCAGTGGTATTTGGTATATTCATAATGTTGAATAACTGTTACTGCTATCTAATTCCAGAATATTTCAGCATCCAAAAATGAAAATCTGTACCCATTAACCAGTCACTCCCCATTTTTCCCTTCTGCTTAGTCCTTGGTAACCACAAATTTGCTTTCTCTTTATATAGTTTTTCCTACTCTGGACACTAAATAAATGGTATCATATGATATGTGGCCCTTTGCATCTGTCTTTTTCATTTAAAGTAACATTTTCATGGTTCATATATGTGGTTCATATATGGTGTAGAATGTATTAGGACTTCATTTATTTTCATGACTGAATAATATTCCATTATATGGACATACCACATTTTGTTTATCCATGCATTAGCTGATGGCCATCTGCGTTGCTGCAGTCTGGCTGTTGAATAATGTTGCTATGAACATTCATGTATAATTTTTGACAAACATATATTTTCAACTTTCTTGAGGATCTGCCTAGGGACAGAATTGCTCGTTTATGAGGTCATAATGTTTCACATTTTGAGAAACTTCCAGACTGTTTAATAAAGCAGCTGCATCCTTCTATACTTTAATCAGCATGTACAAGGGTTCCAATTTCTCTATATCTTTACCCCCAAGTTGGTTTCCATTTTCCACCTTTTAATTAACACTATATTTGATTTAAAGTAGAAAAACAGGTAGCAAACCCACAAACTCTGCTCCTGTTTCCTCACTAATCCGATGGCCCTCCAGGAAGTTCAAATCCTGGCCAGTGACTGACCTTCTCCATGTCCTACGGCTCTCTTCATAACAAAATCTACCCTGGTGGCTACCAGGAAGACTAAGGTGATTATAGAAAACCTTAAAACATATGAGGTACTCAAGAAATGTTCACTTCCTTCTTTTTTTGCTAAAGGCTACAACCAGGAATTTCATAAGCTCGGCCAACACATATCTTGGGTTAGGGTGTCAAGGTACAGAATCTTAACTTTGATGAACATTAGGATGATGTGTAGTGCATAGTTATTTGCCAACTAAACAAACCTTAGCAAGTTTCCTTAAATATTAGCCACGGTCAGTCTTCCCCGCAACAGAGCATTTGGCTTGACATGACATCCTAAAATGTACAGGAAGCTACCGGCAGTCTCTAAGGGGCACACTTGGATTAAAAGATCAATAATTGACCACAGGAGTCTACGCTCACCCTTTCTCCAAACCACAAATATCGATACACTTTAGACAACATCTAAGTTAGAACCTGCCAAGGCTCAGTTATAAATCCGGGCTGGAATGTCAACTCTCCGTAAGTAGGGGTTACCTGTGTCCCCCAAAAAAGACATGTTTAAATTTGAACACCCGATATCTATAAATATGACCTCATTTCGACAGATGTAATGAAGATGAGGTCATACTAGATGAGGGTGGGCTCTAAATTCAATGTGTGTCTTTCTAAGGAGGCAGCGAGTCATGGGTGTGCCCTGCGGAATACGGCTGTGTGAGGGAAGCCGCTACGAGCCAACAAACGCAAGGGCTGTTGGCAAACACTCAAAGCTAGGAAAGCGTCCCCGGAGCCTTCCAAGGGGGCACAGCCCTACTGACACCTTCATGTGGGGCCTCCAGAACTGTGAAAGAAGAAATTTGTTATTTCAAACCCGCTTACTTTGTGATATTTTGTTACAACAGCCCTAGGAAACTAATACACGGTGTGATACTTTGATTCAAAACTGAACCACTCTACCTGGTGGAGATGTCAGGAGTAGATTGCCAAAAGAGACACTATGGATACTTTCATAGGAATCTCAAATTCTTCTCCTCTGTCTGCCTCATCTGTGACTCTCCTTTCCTACCATCTTAAAATAGGGTGCTGGGCCAGGGATTTCGCTCAGTGGCGCCGTGACTGCCTTGCAAGTACAAGATCCTGAGTTAGATCCCCAGAACTGGACCAAAAAAAAAAGGGTGCTGCGCTGCTACTGTGAGTCTCCTGAAGTCTCACTACCACTGAATAGGTGTGAGTGGGTTGCAAGGAGGACTCAGGGGGCTGAGGGGTGAGGACTCGGTATTGGATAGATCAATGCTGGGCTCCTCACACCCCATTCAGAACAGGCTCTGCTCCTGGCTGCCCGCCAGTGTAACAAGTCAGAGAGGAGTGAATCAGGGCAAAGTCAACCTGAGCCCTGGAAAAACAATACAAAGACTATACTATTTTCCAAGAGGCATCACAGTAAGGCACAAATCCCCAGTACAAACCCCCAATGCCTGAAAACACACTAATCAGGCTTGGAAACTGTATTCAAACAAAATGGTGTTCAGGCTGATACTGAACCGTTACACCCATGTCGATGTAAAGTCGGAATACTTCGCCCTTCGAGGTTGTCTAACTAAGCAGGTCACAACGGGCCACGCCCCCCAAAGCCCTTGGCCTGACTTCTTCCTTTTAGAGGAGAGGCTGCGTTCGCATGTTTGACTGTATCCCAGGGTCTGGACGGTGCCCGGGCTGCCTGGTGCTCCACAAGTACTGAAAGTGAACGGAGGAATGCGTGGGAATAGGGCAGGAGACAAGGCGGGAGGGAGGGAGGAAGGGTCCACCGGCCTGGCCCCAAGTTCTGTGTTTTAGGCAGCGACAGGCACAAGGCATACTCACTATCAAAGAGGATGATCCTGCCATCACCCCCACAGGGCTGGGTATGATCCCCGAAGCACACGCTGTTGCACTCGGTGCTGGCTGCCTCCCCGTATTTCCAGTAATCAGGGTTGTTCCCACAGAAGCAAGCATAGCCTGACTCCATCCCAGCAAACTGCCACAACAGACAAGCAGCACATGGTGAGTGTTGTCGGCTCCCAACAACCAGCTTCATCTTCCCAGGCCACCCTGCCCTAGGACCTTTCCCTGGTCCCACGCTACCAACACTTGATTCCAGGCTGACGAAGAGCTACACTCGGCCGCCCACCGCGAGTCTATTTCCCTGTCCACGGACATCCCATTTTGGTGTGTGTGTTTCTATGGTATTTAATTCAGTTTTTCTTCTTTTGGTACCGGGGATTGAACTCAGATCCTTGCGCTTGAGAGACAGGCACAGTGCCATTGAGTTAAATCTCCAGCCTTAATTAAGTTTTTTTTTTGTTTTTGTACCAGGGATCGAACTTGAGTCCTTGCGCTTGTGAGGCAGGCAGAACCACTGAGCTAAATTCCCGGCCCTTAATTAAGTTTTAATGGGGAGAAAAATCCCATAAACTTGAAGCATTAAAAATAATAACAGTTAAAGCAGGGCATGGTGGTGCATGCCTGTAATCCCAGCATGCAAGAGGCTGAGGCAGGAGGATTGCTGTGAGTTCAAGACCAGCCTGAGCTACATAGTGAGTTCCTGGTCAGTCTCCACTACATAGTGAGACCCTGTCTCAAAAAACACCCCCCCAAAAACAAAAAAACACAACCCCCCCAAATAATAACAGTTAAACATTTTGTTGGTTATTTACTACATGCCAGGTTACAAGTGCTTTATATAACAAATCCTCATAGCAAACTTTTTAGAAGCCCCATTTAAAATTTGTATTTCATCTTCCGAGTTAACATACAGTATTGTATTTCAGCATACAGCTCTATAAATTTTAACACATGCACAGATTTTTGCAATCACAAGTATTATCAAGGTACAGAGTAGCTCTATCACCCCAAAAACCTGCTTTGTGCTATTGCTTTACAGCCCTCAGACAAGGGCTGTCCAGCTTTCTACTGTCACAGCTGTTTTGGGAAATATAATATAATAAAACAGAATCGTGCGCTATGCAACCTTTCCAGACTGGCTTTTTTCCCCCCTCAACATGTCCTAATGCCCTTGAGGTTCATCTAAATTGATGAAGGTAATGATAGCTTCCTCCTTTTTATTATCTAACAGAGTGCATTATATGAATAAGTCACAATTTGTTCATCCCTTGGACTGTTTCTGGTTCTAATCTTCAATGCTGTAATCATTTGTGTATAGATTTTTGTGTAAATTTTTACTTTTCTAGGGTAAGAACTAGCAATGTGACGTGCATGTTTCACTGTCTAAGGAACTGCCAAACTTTTCCGGGATGTCTGTCCCATTTCATATTAGCAACAACAATGTATAAAAGTCTCAGATGATCTGCCCTTGTCAGCACTTTTTATTATCAGTGCAGTTTATTTTAGCCATTTCATAGTGGTATAATTATATCTCAGTGTGGTTTTGATTTGTATTGTTTTAATGGTTTAGGAAGCTGGATATCATTCAATGTTCTTATTTACCATCAGCATCTTCTCTGTGTGAAGAATCCAGGTCTCCTGCCCATATTCGGCTTTTTTAGTATTTGCGTGTCTATAGTCCTTTAGTTCTGAGAAGAACGCTTTCAGTGTTGTGATTGGGACTGCATTAAATCTGCATATCAGTTTGGAAGTATGGCCACGTTCACTACTTTGGTTCTGCCTATCCAAGAACAGGGATATCTTTCCATTTTCCGATATCCTCTTCAATTTTCTTTTTCAGATTACTGTAGTTTTCTTCATAGAGGTCTTTCACTTCCTTACTTGCCGTCTAACCCAATATCATAAGATTTTTGACATTTTTTCCTAGCTTAGTTTCAGCTCCTTTTTAAATTGGGGGGTGCTGAGGATTGAACCAAGATGTCAAGCATGCTAATCATGTGATCTACTGCTGAGCTACACTCACAGCCTCTATGTTTAAAAAATGAAATATAATTCACAGAACATAAAATTCATTTTTTAAATTTTAAAATGTATTTTAAAGTATACATTCTAAGCCAGGCGTGGTGGTGCATGCCTGTAATTCCAGCTCTCGGGAGGCTGAGGCAGGAGGATCGCTGTGAGTTCGAGACCAGCCTGGGCTACATAGTGAGTTCCAGGTCAGTCTCAACTACATGTGAGACCCTGTCTCAAAACAAAAAACAAAAAACAAACTAAAGTATACATTTTAAAGCCAGGTGTGGTGGCACATGCCTGTAATCCCAGCACTCCAGAGGCTGAGGCAGGATCTCTGTGAGTTCAAGACAGCCTGGGCTACATAGTGAGGTCCAGGTCAGTCTCAACTACATAGTGAGACCCTGTCTCAAAGAAGCAACCCCCCCCCCAAAAAAAGTATACATTTTAGTAACGGTTAGCATATATCCAATTAATTATGTTAATTCCAGAACATTCATCACCTCAAAAAGAATCCCTGTCCTAATTTCAGTTACTCTTAATTCCTCCCATATCCCACTCTCTGACAACTACTAACCTATTTTCTGTCTCTACAGATTTTCCTGTTCTGGACATTTCATATAAATAAATTACATAATATGTGGTCTTTTGTGTCTGGCTTATTTTACTCAATGTAGCAATTTCAAGATTCATCCATATGATAAAATACATCAACATTTCATTTTTTCATGGAAGAATAATATTTAATTGGATGGAATACTCCTTTTTGTCTATCCATCCACCAGCCGAGACCACTACAATGAAGTAAATCAGACATACACGCTTAAATATCACCTGGCTTCTCTTATGTGAAACACTCAATTATAAATCAAGTACAAGATAAAAGACAAAGAAGAAAAAATGTAACCCATCATGGACAATGTACCTAAAACGATACCCTTGATTTCAGATAATTGACCTAAGTGTTTGTATGTTTTTTTGCCTGTTGGCCTGGCTGCCAAAATCTGTATGTGTGATAATTAACTTTACAAGGGTTTAAAAATAAGTGAACCTGATGCTGGCCAACAAAGGCAGCACGGAGAGGACAGGGAAAAACCAGAATTGAGATGTGTTATATATGTGTGGCATTTACCCACAATGAATGCATTCATTATATACTGCAAGGACATACTAATAAAAAGAAAACATTTTAAACATAAATATACACAGCCATTCTAGTTGTGTGAAGCAGAATCTAATGAATTTTTGCTTGCATTTCCCTAAAGACTAACTCCACTGCACATCTTTTCATGCTTCTTGGTTAGCTGTCGATCTTGTATGGAGAAATAAGTATTCAAATCCTTTGCCCATTGTTTAAATTGAATTGTCTTTATACTGTTGAGCTGCATTAACTCATTATATATCTTGGACCCTAGATCATTATCAGATATATTATTTGTAAGTATCTTCTCTTATCTATGAGCTTTCTATTCATTTTCTTACTAAGGAAGTAAAATCTATTTTTTCTTCGGTTGCTTGGACTTTCAGTACCATAAGTAAGAAACCACTGCCTACTCCAAGGTCAAGCATGCTTAGACCTATGCTTCCCTCTAAAGGTTTTATAGTTTTAGCTCTTACATTTCAGGTTTCGATTACTTTTAGTTAATTTTTATACAGTGTGTGCAACAGGGATCCAGATTCATTCTTGTACGTGTGGATATCCAGTCGTTTCAATCAGTACCTTTTGTTGAACAGACTATCCTCTTCACATTAAGTAATCTCGGCGTCTTTGTTGAAAATCAGTTGACCGTCAATATCTGGGTTTATTTCTGTTCTCCCAATTATATTCCATCCACCCACATGTCCATGTTTTATTCCACTGTTAGCAGTACTTTTTAAGTAGTATAATTTAAATTTGATTTACCTGATATGAAGCAAGAATAAAAGTTCTCTCTTTTTGGTACCAGGGATCAAACTTGGCACCTTGCGCTTCCAAGGCAGAACCACAGAGCTAAATCCCCAGCTCAAAAGTTCATTTTTCTTTGTAAAGTGCCCCACTGTTCTTCCAGAAGCATTTCTTGAAAAACCATTCCACCACTGAATTATCCAGGCACCCTGGTCAAAAATCAGTTGCCCAGATAAGTACAGGAACTAAAAAAGGTCAGATAGAAATATTTGATGTTGTGGGCCATGTGGACTCTTTCTCAACTGAACTTTGTTGTTGTAGCGTGAAAATAGCCATAGATGATATGAAAAAGCATAGGTATGGCCATGTTTCATAAAATTTTATAAAAGAAATGGTGGGTGCCAGGGACTTAGCTCAGTGGCACCATGCCTGCCTCACAAGCACAAACAAGGCCCTGAGTTTGATTCCCTGGCAGTGGGAAAAAAAAGAAAGAGGGGGGGAGGGGAGAAAAGAAATGGGTCAGTGGTTGGATTTGGCCCGTGGCTATCGTTTGCTGACTTCAAATCCATGTGACTGTTCTTATGCCAACATCACTCGCTTAACGACTATAGCTTTATAGAATAATCTTCAGATCAGACAGGTAATTCCTCCAAAGCTGACTTTTTTCAAAGTTAAGGATAAAGGTTCACTGTTCGTCATAAAAAGCCCTCCTGTTTCTCTATGCAATTGTTGAAGATCCTTTCAACAAATTTTAGGACCAGCTTGTTATTCCCTTAAAAAGCTATATTATGATTTTGGTCAGGATTACACTGAATCTATGGATCAATTTGAGTTTTCCAATCTATGAAAAAGGTCTATATCTCCTTTTATTTAGAGTTTCATTAATTTTCCTTTGCAATCTTATGTAGTTTTCAATATATAATCTAAGTTTTTTTGTTAATTTATTCCTTCTAAGAAAGTTACTCTTAATCAGGAAGATATTCCCTTCTATTCCTAATTTGCTGACTTGTCATTAATGAGTTCTGTGTTTTCTCAAATGCTTTTTCCATATTTCATTGTTTTCCTATATTTCATTTTAAAATAATTTCAGCCTACAGAGAAGCTGCAAGAATAGTAGGAAAAACTTCTCCACCCTTCACCTGACGACCCTATTCACGTCGGCAAGTGCCTCAGTCACCCTTTGTAAGAAAAGGATCCCATCCAGGGTCAGAGAGGCGTTTGCTGTCAGTTCTCTTCAACCTGGAATAGGTGTCAGTTCTCCTCTGACTCCTGTGACGGTAAGGTTTTCAAAGAATAAAGACCAGTTGTTTTGTAGGATGTCCTTTTTTATGTATTTGCTTGTTGTTTCTTCACAAATAAATATACAGAATGTGTTTTTTGGCAGAAAACGCATAGTAATCTTACATTCTTGTCCTAACTGACTAGTACCATATCTACTTTTTGTGATGCCACTGGTAATATTAAATTTGGTCACCTGAGTAAGGTAATTATGCCAGTTTTCTCCACTATAGAATGGCTTGTTTCCCTTTGTAGTTAGTATTTTCTGGGGTGACTCTTGAAGGTATAGAAACTTCTATCACTAGTAGATGAGGCTTTGGGATATTTACCTATCTTGATACTTGGCCTCTAAATCAATCATTACTATGATGGCTCCCACATGGTGAATCTCCAAGTTCCATCATGTTACGGTTTAGATCTAAAATGTTCCCCAAAGTCTCGTGTGTTTGGGAGGTAACTGGATCACGGGGCACCATCCTCACTGGTAGATTCACTTGTTGATGGCAGGAGAGGGGGCCTGGTCTGGAGGTGGTTCCTGGGAGGGCGTGTTCTTCTCCTGGTCTCCCCGCCCACTTCCTGGCTGCCATGAGTTATGCAGCTCTCTCCTCTGCCTGGCCCTCCCACCATACCATTTCTGCCTTGGAGCCAGCTGACCATAGACTGAACCCAAGCAAACTGTGAGTCGAATAACTTCGTCACTTTGAAGTTATAGATGTCAGGTATTTGATCCAAGCAATGGGAAAGTGACTAATACACCGTTTTTTTCTCTATTTCTTAGCTTGTAGTTTCCAGGAAAGAATGTTTCTCTTCTCATTATTCATTCACTCATGTGGATTTGTGGATTCTTATTTTATTCAACAGGGCATATTTACTGTATTACCATTGTTATTTGTTTAGATTAGAAGCTCAAATCAGCTTTGGCTGGTGGGAACTCCTTCAGGGTGGCTTCTTTGTCCCTGCAGCCACTTTTTATCCCTGCTTACCTTCCTGTATAAGACGTTTGTTTCAGCCTCACCTTGCACTTTCCTAGCACTACTACGATAACCAGTCATTTTCCCTAAGGAACTTCCTCTTAGTGGAGAATACTATTTAGAAACCAGGTGTGGGTGCTAAGTAGACTCTCCATGATCAGTATGGCATGCTCCCAGGCCCTCTCAATGACAGCTCAGAAATACATATGTACACACACACACACACACACAAACTTTTCTGTATCTCCCTGTGTCCAAAACCATGCACTTATACTAATCCAATCCCTATCCAACACTACAGGCTTTACTGCAGTTTTTAATACATTTATTCATATGCTCAAGCCCCATACAAGACTTGATCGCTTGATCATCTTGGGTCCACTGCCTTCCCCAGACACTTGCTTCAATAAGATCTGAACCCTGAAAAGCTATCTTCTTTGCTTGGGACTGATTAAGGGCATTTAGACAGGAAGGAAGGAAGGGAAGGTGGGGGGGGGAGTGGAAAGAGAGACGGGGGAAAGAAAGAAAGGAATCTTTTTCTCCTTTTCTGATATAACAATAGCATTCTTGAACCTTAAAGATTAAGGAATTAATTTCAGACAAAAGAATGCACAGGAAGAAAGGAAAACATTTTGGATTGCTAACCTGGCCAGGACCCATTTACTTCCCCATAAAGGAAGTAAACCACTACCTTGGCTTATTCTCAGATTCTCTGTGCACACAATGATGTCCCTGCTCACAATGCACGAGGGCACAAATATATAACTCAAGTCAGGGTTGAACAAAAATGCTGCTATTTATTGGAAACCTTCCTCCCAGTTCTTAAGCAAGAATGCTGCCTCACCCTCCTGAATCCCAAGCCCATTCCTCTGATTTTTTTCCCTGGTAGAAAAGTAGAGTTGTGGGGTTTGACAGGGTTTTTAAAAAATACACATATTTAAGTTACCTCAGCAAAACACACTGGATCTTTAGCTTTTGTACAGTTCCATAGCCACAGAGCCATTACCTTGAACCTCTGACTCCGACAGAAACTGATGCAGGTCTGTATGGTGAGTTTGTTGGATGTTTTACTGGTGCCAGTTAGAGGAGGTGGGTTTCCATGATCCTTGTAGCAGCCAAGGTTTCCAGGCACTGTAGAGAAAGAAAAAGGAAAAAGGGAATTTCACAACATCTGGCTGTGAAACTCCGAAGAGGAAGAGCAATCTGAGCCAGGTGCTTTCATCTCAGCCAATATTTCCACTTCTGAGGTGCAAATAAACAAGCCAGAAGCTCTAAAAGTGGAAGCCTCAGCATTCTCCGCTCAACACCACGTTTCTGCTTTATTTGGAAGAGTATGAGAGGCCCAGATCCCTCTTTGATGAACCCTAAGATATTTCATTTTAGCATGTCAATTTTGATAGGATTTAATATGGAAGAGAATGGGGACCATTTTCCCGAAAAGGGATAAGTTACAAATATAAATTATGTTTCACAGTCACCGAGGACAGGAAAAGCCCTCAGAAGCCCATTACCCTATAATTCATACTCAAATCCCTTGTTTCGTAAAAAATGTCGTAAGTGGGTTTCCCCAAGGTCTCCTGATAAGTGAATTAGTTTCCTGTTGCTTCTGGAAAAAATTATCCCAAACTTATTGGCTTATAACAACATACATTTATCATCTTCCAGTTCTCAAGGCCAGAAGTACTACATGGATTTTACAGGGCTAAAATCAGGGTGTCAGCAGAACTGAACCCCTCCTGCAGGCTCAAGGGAAGCCCTTCCCTTGCCGTTTCCGTCTCCTCGCTACCCTTAGTCCTTGGCTTGTGGCAACAGGCCCCTTCCTCTGTCCTTACCTACCTCTCCTTCCCTCCCTCAACCTCCACGGTCACAGCGCCTTCTCTGGCTCAGGTCTTCCTGCCTTTCATTGTTTAAGGACTTGTGATTACCCTGGATGTGTGAATAATTCAGGAAGATGTTTCCATCTCAAAATCCTTCACTACATCTAAGAAGTCCCTTATGCTACGAAAGACCACATATTCCTGGACACAGACATCTTTGGGGTGGGAGGCATTATTCAGCCTAACAGTGAGCATAGTAGTGTTCTACAACCACACATCAAATGTTTTGATCTAGTAAAACAACCCCCCCAAAAAAAACTATCTGATAATACAGGTACCAACTTGATAGACAGCTTTAAAAGATAGATATTAATTATACTCCTGTCAACTAAGTGTTGGTATACCACTCTAATGTAACAAAAAAAAAAATGCTGGGGATTTAGCTCAGTGGTTCCACTGCCTGCCTCACAAATGCAAAGTCCTGAGTTCGATCCCCGGTACCAAAAAAAAAAAAAGCCAATGGATGAAAAAATTATGCCAGGCATGGTGGTGCACACCTGTAATCCCAGGACTCAGGAGGACAGCTGTAAGCTTAAGGCCATCTTGGACTACATAGAACATTCCAGGCCAGCCTGAACTACAAAACTAGAACCCATCTCAAAACAAAACAAAATAAAACATCCCACACACATCTGGCCTCTTATTCCTGCTCCTACTTCCTTTGGGTTTCCTGGGGTGATTGGAGCAGCTTTTGTTCTAAGGAGGCATTTTGGTGGGTTTCCGGCTAGCTTCAGGGTGGGGGCTGGTCACCAGAAAGGCAATATCATGATTCAAAACTTGAAACGTTCAGCCCCGTCTCCCATCCTCCAGGGAGGGGAAAGAGCGAGAGACTGAGTTACTAAGTGGTCATTCCTACATGATGAGGCCTCCCCAAAAATTCCTGAAAGACGGGGTTCAGAGAATTTCTGAGTTGGTAAACACATCCACGTGCTGAGAGGGTAGCACACACCACAGGGAAGGAAACTTCTGAGCTCAGGACCCTTCCTGACTTAAACCAATATACTTCATCTAGTTGTTTATCTGTATCTTTAACATGTCCTTTATACTAAATGTGTTTCTGAGTTCGGTGAGCCCTGACAGCAAATTATGAAACCCAGGGGAGGTCGTAGGAAGCCTTGATCTGTAGTCGGGTTGACAGAGTGTGGCTCACCTAGGGCCCACTACTGTAACTGATACTTGAAATGAACTGCAGTCTTAGGGGACTGTGCCCTTAGGCTGTGAGTTTGTACTAACTCTAGGTAGCCAGTGTTATAACTGCAGGATATCCACATGGTGTCCAGAGTTGGAGAATTAGCTGGTTTGGGAAAAACCCACCTAATCTGCAATTTGGTGTCAGAACTGAAGCATATGAATGTACAGTACATTTTTATTTTTTTTAGTTTTTCTCATTTACTCCCCCATCCCCAATTCATCTGTTGAAGGCTGAATCTCCCACATAATGATATTTTCCATTAGATCCTTCAGGAGCAATTAGGATTAAATGAGGACAAGAGGGCTGAGCCCCTATGATGGGATTAGTGCCCTTACAAGAGAAAGAGGGACCGGGGATTTAGCTCAGTGGTGCCACCGCCTGCCTTGCAAGTGCAAGGTCCTGAGTTTGAGCCCCAGTACCCCACCCCACCCCCAAAAAGAGAAACAGTTTAGAGCTCATTCCCTCTGCCACATAAGGATACAGCAAGAAGGCGAACATCAGCAAACCAGGAAGACAGGCCTCATCAGATACTAAATCTGAGGGACCTTGAACTTGGTCTTCCCAGCCTCTAGAACTGTGAGAAATCAATCTTTTATTTAGCCACCCAGGCCAACGAAATTTTGTCACAGCAGCCCAAACTGCCTAAGAGAGATCCCTGCCTGCTCTTGCTCATGTCTTATGGACTCTCTTCCCCTTGAGGATGGCCTGGACTAGCAATTTGAGTCTAACAGAACACAGCAAAGTTGATGGGATGTCACTGATGTGACTAGGTCCCAAAAAGTTATGGTTTCGTCTTGCTAGCAGATTCTCTACTGCCTTCTTGGCCTGTATATTTGCATGAAGCAATATGCCAGGTTATTTACGTATTTATGTATGTATTTATTTATTTTTTCCTGGTACCAGGGATTGAACTCAGGATCTTGTATTTGCCAGGCAGGTGAGGAACCACCGACGACATCTCTGGGCTCAATATGTCACGTTAGAGGCCAGGTAGCAAGGCAGCCTTCAGCCAACACAACGAGCTTTCCAGTCCAACAGCCCACAAAGAGCTAAATGCTACTAAAAATTATGTGAGCCAGAAAGTGGACCTTTCCTCAGCTGAGCCTTAAGATGAGGCTCCAGGCCTGGCAAACACTTGATGGCAGCTTTGTGAGAAACTCTGACGCAGAGGACCTAGCTAAATCACGCTCAGGTCTCCAGACTCAGACTGTTTAAGACAATAAGTGTGTGCTACTAAGTCACTGAGCTGTGGGGTGATCGTCACACAGCAAGAGATAACTACTGCACTTCTATATCCAAATTATTCCTTTTGCATGAAGAAGTGCATTCACTGTGGGCCATGGAGAAATAAGCTTGTCTTGACTGGTTTTTCTAATGAGGCAATTCCCAGTGGGCTCCTGGATAGCTTCAGGGTGGGGCTTGTGACCAGAAAAACCAAGCCATTAGAACCTGACACTTTCCACCCATCCATTAGTTTTCCACTGCGCTTATAATTCAGGACACGCGCTCCAAAATCCCCTGAAGCTGTCTCCCTTTCTCTGCTTGGCTCCTCGTAATTTATATAACTAAAAATATAATAAGACATGAATAAGGCTTGGCCCTAGAAGCACTTCTAGGTCAACTGGGAGTTACATATTGTCCAATCCCAAAGTGATAGCTATACAGTCTTGGATGGATACATAGCACAGTCCAGTTAGTAAATTTTATCTCCACTTAGTCTTTTACGCATATAGAAGTGTGTGTGTGTGTGTGTGTGTGTGTGTGTGTGTGTGTGTGCGCGCACGCATACATTTAAACATTTTCCTCGGCCATCTCATCAGCTCGTTTTAAACTGGCAAGAAGCACCTCTGCTGACCCAAACTCACCCTTCCCCCTTTAGGCCTAGCGGTTACCCGTCTCCTTTGTGTCACACATGATTCAAATATAACAAATGTGGCTTACCACGCCAATGTTAAAATGCATCTTTCGGAAACAAACCCAATCTCTATAGTAGCGAATGTAAACACAGTGACTCTGCAGTAGCGGCCCATTGTTCAGTGGGGCCCTGGCCTGGGAATGCCTGGGTTTTAGCGTTTAAACAACTGCAGAGAGAAGCACTTCTAGTCAGGGGCATAGACTTCAGCTGAGTTTGTTAAAGGGACCTTACATACGGAAACCTGAGCCACGCATTTAATGGTTCTTAATAAGAACTACTTGATCGTAACCGTCTTGGTATTTTACTCGAATTTTTTGTCTCATTTATTCCATTATGCTCACAAGTAAGCATGTTATTCGGTATTAGGCTATAGAGAGCCCAGGCATATAATCATAAACATTAAGTAAGGTTGGACATAAGCAAGGACATGGTTTGTATTAATGCAGCTGGAACCTATAAGCTTTATTAACAATTCAGTGAAAAAAAGCCAGGCGGCTTGCTTCTCAACGGGGCAGTGAGGTCCCAAAACACACCATGAGACAGATCAATCCCTAGGATCACACCGTACTCTGCCGCTGTTCTAATCCCTTTGAACATCACTGGTCTGAGGCATCATCCTTGCTCCTCAAGTCCAACACTGACCGAACACTATTCTATCTCCTAAAATATTATGTGCACCTGTCTGTGCCTTTCTGTCCATGTGCTGCCACCTCCCCAGGTGACACCTCTATCTTCGCTCACTGCGACCCCTGCAGCTGACTCTCCCATTCCATCCCCACCCGGGCTCACCCACTCTGATGTCAGCAGCACAATGCACCCAAAATAATCCCCACAGTGCATGCCAGGCAGGAGGAATGGCCAATGTAGAGGATTCAGGTGAGAATCATCGTGGCCTTTGCAGTAATAGTAAAGATTGAGCATGACCAGCTCCAGGGAGAGGGAAAGACAGCAGCAGCTAGAAAGGTCCATGAGCCCTGCCTCAGACCCACAAAGCTCCCGAGTTGCCACACAGAATAAAACCCAGATCTTCTCACACGGTATGCAGTGCCCTACCTCCTCTGTGATGTTGTTCCTTTTTCCCACCTCTCCCTCTGCCCCTTGGCTAACTTCTATATGAAGGCCAAATTGCAGTGCGTTTGCAAATTTC